AAAAAAAAAAAAAAAGGCTACCATAAATCCAACCCCTGCTCCTTTAAGCTGTAGGCCCCACAAAGCCAAGACCCCACTGGGCTGCTCCCCAGTGCCGAGTAGCACTTAGCACAGCCCCCTCCATACAGAGACGGACAGGTAGAAAGCAGTTAGTGATTGATCTACAGAGTCCTACCCAATAGCAATTCCATGAAAGTAGACACTAATACTACTCCCATTTTACAGATGAGAAATCTGAGTTTTCCAGGTGTTTCTATGCAGTGTGAACATAGAGGTCTTATTTAGGTTGAACTGACCTTCCAGGTTCTTCCTGGGAGGGTTGACAGTCTGGTCAGGAGAGGCTGTGGCTGCCTTTCTAATACAGGCATCTGCCCGGGGCACTCTGACCCGCTGACTCTTATTAACGAATATGCTTTGAGCACCTACGATGTGCCTGGTGACGGAGGGAAAAGCAATCGGGGGAGGGCCGGTGGGAGAGGTAAAGAAATGCAACTGGAAGGTACAAATGAAGAACAGCACACCACAGTGCAGTTTTGTTATTGTGTCTCTTCAGCTCCTGTCCCAAAGTCACCGAGGTCAGCTTGAGCCTGGGGTTTCACAGAACAGAATCTCTGAACTAGAACCCCGCTCGTTCCCACCTCTTGAGGGAGCAGGGAGGAGCTGGAGGCCTGCCTATCTGCATCCTGCACACCCAACCCTACCCACTTCAGAGGAATAGCAGCTAAGATTTATTGCACGCCTACTGTGTGCATAACCAGCACCAGCTCCCTCAGTCCTCACAACAGCCTCTGAAGGCATATCAGTGTCCCATTTCACAGACCAATAAACTGAGTCTCTGGGAGCTGAAGCAGCTTACCCAAGGCCACACAGAGCTACTGTCCCACCCTGCATCTCACAAGGGGCATGGAGAAATGGGAAGTGCTGCCCCCAAGGACAGGCACCTGTTGCTGACCCAGCAGCTGAGGTCACCTGGTGGGCAGTAGCGGAGGAAGGTGGCCTTGGGCTTCCCTGTGCCACCACCTCCCCACATGGGATATGGATGGAAACTTTTTCTATTGGATTTTCTGGAAACAAGCATGAACCATGTTCTACCATTAACAAAGTGCTTTGAAGTAGCAAAATTACTCAAAGCACCTAACTGTACTGAGTACTCCCAATGGCTCCATGGGTAATCTCATGCCTTTTTACTGGTGAGGAAAACTGACTTCCAGAGCACCTCAGAAATCCACAGGTGAGGACTGGCTATCCATCCATCCATCCTCCCTCCCTCCCTCTCTCCCCCCCTCCCTCTCCCTCTCTCAAGTCCAGCTGGCACCCTTTCTCCCCATCCCATTTCTAGCAGGGAGGGGCTGGAGGTTGTGCTCTGTGCTGGAGGAAGGGAGGGGATGGGGAGGGGAAGGGATAAAGATTCTGGGTACCTCTCCCCACTTTTATCTAGCTCTAACCATGTCTTAGAGCATTCTGGCTTAGATGGCTTCTCGGGAAATAATTTTAATATTCACATAAGCCCAGTAAAATTCAAAAGACAAACAGAAGGGAGGAAAACACATATAAAAACTAATTCATCCAAGCCTTTATCTTGGCTTAGAAGGCGCTGGAGGGTTGGGCCCTGTCCCCACCCAGCCACTCAATGCGCATACACTAGGAGTGTTTGTTTGGGAGCAGCCACAGTTCTGCTTTACAGATCCTGAGGCTTTCTTGTTCCCAGCAACCCTGGAGGTAAACATTTTTCTCTATTTTACAGATGAGATGAGCAGAGGGGCAGGGCACAGTGGCTCACGCCTATAATCCCAGCACTCTGGAAGATCTGGCTGCTCTTCCAAAGACCTCATCCATTACCTGAGGTCAGGAGTTCAAGACCAGCCTGGCCAACATGGTGAAACTCTGTCTCCACTAAAAATACAAAACTTAGCCGGGTGTGGTGGTACACACCTGTTGTTCCAGCTGCTCGGGAGGCTAAGGCAGAAGGATTGCTTGAACCCAGGAGGCGAAGGCTGCAGTGAGCCATAGTCACTATACTCTAGCCTGGGCAACAGTGAGACCCTGTCTTTGAAACTGCTGAAGAATACCTTAGTGAGGTATATAGAGATATTAACCATCTGAAAGAAACTAGGGAGAAAAAAGACCAGAAAAAAATCAAAAAAAAAAAAAAAAAAAAAAGGTGAGCAGAATCCAGGGTATGGGACAGCAAGGACTAGGATCCAGCCTGTCAGCTCCAGCCTGCTCTGAGCCACTGCAAGGAGTTCACGGGGCCCGCCATGGGCTTCGCAGCTCACCCTGCCTGCAACAGCAGGCCCGCACCACATGCTCTCTAAGTTTCCCATGCCTTGCTGTCAGCTCCTCAGCTAACCTGTTGCCTTTTGGAGAAGGAAAGGCCACTGGCTGCTGCTCAGAGCAAGAGAGTCACGGTGCATGTGTGTGGAGCTGGTGCTGTCCCAGGGCAAGAAGACCAAGTGCTAATGGCAAGTCCCAGCCAGGCTCTTCATCCTTTGGGGGCCAGTCTGCAAGTGCGTGTGCGTGCGTGCGTGCGTGTGTGTGTGTGTGTGTGTGTGTGTGTGTCAGACAGAGCGAGACCTAATTATTTATTTATTTTGGTTCCTTTCAATTTGCTTTATGGTCCCAGCGGCTGGCTGCCAGCAAAGCCAAGCTGGCAGCCTTGCTCTGTAATTTTTTTAAGTGCCTCCTCGATAAAGTGATGAGATTAATTCATCAGAATTCCTGTGGTCTCTTGAGGTGGGCCTAGGAGCATGCAGGAACAGGGAGAGGACATTGGCGACACGCACACATGCAGCTGAGGTGTGGCAGTTTTGTGGATGAGTTCTCTGAGGACAGGGACATAGCCAACGGTTAGATTCCAGTTTCTAATCCGGGAGTGTATTCCGTATAGACAGGTGCAGACTCCACTTTGGGCACATCATCTAACTTCTCTGAGCCTCAGTTTCCTCATCTGTAAAATGGGTACAGTTCCCACCTCATAAAGTTCCTATCTAAAAGTTCTCCAGATTCAGGCCAGGTGCAGTGGCTCATGCCTGTAATCCCATCACTTTGGGTGGCGGAGGCAGGAGGATCACTGGAGGTTAGGAGTTCCAGACCAGCCTGGCCAACATGGTGAAACCCCATCTCTATTAAAAATAGAAAAATTTAGCCCAGCACGGTGGCACATGCCTGTAGTCCCAGCTACTCAGGAGGCTGAGGTGGGAGAATTGCTTGAGTCCAGGAGTTCTGGGCTGCAGTGTGCTATGCCGACTGGGTGCCCACACTAAGTTTGGCATCAATATGGTGACCTCCCGGGCATGGGGGACCACCAGGTTGCCTAAGGAGGGGTGAACCGGCCCAGGTCGGAAACAGAGCAGGTCAAAACTCCCGTGCTGATCAGTAGTGGGATCACGCCTGTGAATAGCCACTGCACTCTAGCCTGGGCAACGTAGCAAGACCCCGTCTCTAAAAAATAATAATAAAAAGAAAAAATTAGCCAGGCATGGTGATGCGTGCCTATAATCCCAGCTACTCAGAAGGCTGAGGCAGGAGAATCACTTGAACCCGGGAGGCAGAGGTTACAGTGAGCCCAGATCATGCCATTGCACTCCAGCCTGGGTGACAGAGCGAGACTCTGTCTCAAAAATAAACAACAAAAAATAAAAGTTCCTTGGGTTCAGTGACAGAAAGTGTATGAATGTCTTAGTGAAGTTCAGGCACTGGCAAGCAGGCCACCACGGCTGCTCTGCTTATTTTTATATTTAGGCAGTTCTTACAGGAGAGTCCAATCTTTTTTTTTTTTTTTTTTTTTGAGATGGAGTCTTGCTCTGTCACCAGGCTGGAGTGCAGTGGCGCAATCTCGGCTCACTGCAACCTCCACCTCCTGGGTTCAAGCGATTCTTCCGCCTCAGCCTCCTGAGTAGCTGGGACTACAGGCGCGTGCCACCACACCCGGCTAATTTTTGTATTTTAGTAGATGAAA